TTAAATTTGAAGTTTTCTCCCCCTTTTTTATCATAAGCAAAAAGTAAAAAAGTGGAAAAAAGTCTCCCTCAATATTTTCTCCCCCTCAACAAAAGAATTGATGCATTTCAAAACAGAAATAAAATTGAAATTTCATAACATGAAAGAACAGAATACCTCATGGAATATAAGAAGAAATTCAACTCTAATTAAGAAGTACAAACAGTATTAATTAATCCATAATAGAGATAAAAACAAGATATCTAACAAACTCATATATCTTCCCCTGAATGTAATAATCCCCTTTTAAAAACAGACTCAACAAAAATGTAAAAAAAGTTTTTTTTTTTACACTGTGACTTAAGATAATAGATTATTACTTTAAATAATCGATTATGTGCGAGCCAAATTGTCAAAATCCAAAGTTTTGAGGACGTGATAATCGATCATTACCCTTGGTAATCGATTATTTACGTTAATTTCTGAAAAACACAAATTTGGGCCAAATTTTCAACTTAAGACACATCTAACATTCATAAATTATTTCAAAGCTCTTAAAAAATACAGTGTCAACATCCAATTTCGTCCGGGTAAGTAAATATTTAAAAAATAATAAAAAATAGGATAATAATAATTAATGGTGGGTAAAAAGGGGTAAAATAATGACTTTAATACAATATTTTTGAAATGTTAGTTTAATATGGTAATAATTTGAATTAATATTATGCTAATAATTATAAACAATAATTAAAATAGTATATTAATATAATTTGTTGCATGAGTTGCTTTTAAAGAGGAAAATATGATCTTCTGAGAATAATGATAATCAATGTTTTGAATATTATTTAATTTGTTTTCTGACAACAATGACCATTTCTTTTCCTATTTTGTTTTATTTTCATTTAATTCACAATTAAAGCAATTCTTTCCCTATTTTGTTTTTTGTCATTTAATTCACAATTAAAGCAATTCTTTCCCTATTTTGTTTTATTGTCGTTGAAACCGCTGGTAATTGTTGAGTTTACATAGTTGAGGTTTCCAATACCGCCAAAAATGTAAATAATTTATTTATTTTTATTGTTCAAATGATTTGATTATCATAAATAAACCAAAATTAAATAATATGAAATCAAAATTAATGGTAAACATTAAATATAAACCAAAATATTATTATATAAATTGTAAACATTAGAAATACAATTAATGTTTCCTAAAAGTTAAAATAAACATGTTATGAATAATAATAATCAGTCTGTAGTTCTTCATTGTCTTCATCATTTGATACTTCTTCATCGGCTTCATCATTTGGTACTTCTTCATCGTCTTCATCATTTGATACTTCTTCTTTTTCAAATACCTACAATATAAAATAATATATTAAAAAAATTATTAGACGAATTTAAGAATTATTGAAGGTTGAAAAAAGTTAAAATGTGACGTAATAGAAACTACATAGCCAATTTAGAAAACTTGTCATAACATTTTCAATATTAATTCAAATTAAGATACATTCATTAATAATAGGAAATGAAGTGTCAGTACTTTCCAAGGTGTAATGAAAAAAAAAAGTAAAAACCGAGTTCTTAAATCCTGAGTAAATTAAAAAATATATTTGAAACCATTTGGAATAATCATAAATTTTCAGTAACAAAAACATTATCGTACACTTAATTTAAGGCCAAAATTGAAAATCATAAATACATATGCTTTTACAAGTTTGCATTATGCATCCACCAGTGTCCCTCTTATGGATCTTACAAGGGGGAAATAGAGAAGATAACTAATTAATAACAGTAACAAAATTCATGTCTTTAACAAGTATGTTGCTTAGCTCAACTTTAGCAGAGGAAATTTTGTACTATATTAGTCATCAAGGATTAAAATGCATGTACTATGTGTTGGTATTTATAGGCATGAGTATAAGCATCTCATGACTTTTTTTAAGGTTTATAGTAGAGGAATCTGTGCCATAATAAAGAAGATTCTTACCATGGTGCCACTGCCACCAATGCTCTGATGCTAGGTAAAAAAGCTTTTACTAGCTAGTTAATTAGGGAACATTGGAAAAACTCAAGATTCTTATACTGGTGATAACGGTTGAAATACTATTATTTTTATACTTAATTTTGATATTAAAAACACCCTTTATGACTTAGAAACTAGCTTGAAATCATGTTTTTGCTTAAGTTGTGAGAATAAGAGAGTTGAAGGTGGTATTATTGGTTTTATGCTTAGTTTTCCTTGTTTTGACAACAATTAAGATTAATTGGATGAAGAAGTTGAAGTAACAAGGAGTTTTAGTCAGGAAAGGCTGGAAAAGTAGCACATAGAAGAATTGCAGATAACGCTGATAGTCATTTTGGGGCATTGAGCGCCAATTCAGAGGTGCAACCACTGTTTCACGCTTGAGCACCATCGTTGAGCGCCAGTTGAGAGGTGCAACCACTGTTTCATGCTTGAGCGCCACCACTGAGCATCATTTGAGTGCCGCAACTACTGTTGGGCGTGTTTTTGGGGTGCTGAGCACCGACGACGTGGGCTTGGACCTGTTTTATGTTATTTTTATGAACTATTTAAGGTTTTGGATGACTTAGGGTTCACATCTTTTGACAGAAAGAGGCGTAGAAACACTCTTTTCATCCCTCGGAGGCGGATTTTGGATGTGGAAGCTCTGATCTTCAACTTTTAGGGTTTTATCTTTCATTATTTTCATCTAGTTTTACCATGTCTATGGTGAACTAAACCTGCATTGTTGTTGGGGAAACGATGTAATCCTTTGAAACTCTCATGTATTGAATTGATTTATATTATAAATGCTTTACTTCATTAATTGTTAGGGTTTTTCCTCTATGCTCTATGCATGCTTTGTTTAACTTATTCAATTACATGATTATTGATTTTGTCAATATGGACACATATGAGAAAATCTAGAACTGGGGAAATTCTCCCAAAAGCAATATTACCTAGACATAGGGATAGGAGGATCGATTACCTTTAAGTTTCTGTGTGAATGTAATGCATGATTAATTGCTAGGGAGACAACATTGTGAACTAGTAATTAAGAGTAGGCTTTCTTCACCGAGGCATCGAGTTTAAGGTAAATTTGAAAGTGGCATTAACATTAATGAAGAAGACGAATTCATAAATGCATGAGAGTGGATAGGATAAGTCGGAAACCCCAACAACATAATCATTCCATATTTTATACATCAATCACTTGTGCATTCTTCAAGTCAATTGATCAACACTTGCATTCATATTTATTTTCTGCATTATAAACACTATGATTTTGTTTACAAGTCTTAATTAATCAAGAACTCACATGAATGTCTCTTGGAAAACGATATTTGGTCTTACCATTTATTATTACTTGATAAGATTCGGTACACTTGTCGGAGTGTTAACAAATTTTTGGCACCGCTGTCGGGGACTCGCGGTTTAACTATTCTATTCATGTGTGATTATTGATTAGTTTAGACTTGATTCTTTATTTTAGTGTATTTTTGTTTTGTTTTAAAAGTGCTTTTTAGGGTTTTGTTTTCTTGTGTATGCAGGGTATAATTCGAACTAGAAGCAAGAAAACATCAGAACCTCTTCTTGAAGGATTGGACGAGAGTAGATGGAGAAGGAGAATCCGAACATCTAGAGAATTATTTCCTTCTCCGGAGACACTTTTACAACCCTCACCACAAAGATCTGACTAGAGTACTGAAGAGATGGCTGGAGAAAATAATGGCAGACGCACTCTAGCGGATTACACCACTGTTGTTGGCCCTCATCACTTTAACAACATTGCTAGGCCGAGGGTTAATGCTACAAACATGGAGGTGAAACCAGCGTTGATACAATTGGTGAAGAGCAACCAATTTAATGGACTATCTCATGAAAGTCCATATGAACATCTAACCACATTCAACGAGATTTGCAAAACTGTGAAGATCAATGGCATGCTGGATGACGCTATAAAGCTTAGTTTGTTTCCTTTCTCATTGGGAGGCAATGCTAAGCTATGGTTGGATTCTTTCCCCGAGGATGTCTTTACTGAATGGAAAGCTGTGGTTTCAAAGTTTTTGAACAAGTACTTCCCATAGTAAAAAATCAACAAGGGTAAGCAAGAAATTTCTTCTTTCAGACAAGGCATAGAGGAGACGTTAGGTCAAGCGTGGGATAGATACAAGAGTTTGCTCAGAAAGACATCCACGCATGGCTTTGATGAAGCAACAATAGTCATTCTTTTCCTTGGAGTTCTTGGTTCACAAACCAAATTGATGCTAAATGCTTCAGTTGGAGGTAATATTAAATGTAAGACTCTAGAGGAAGCTTTTCAATTGATTGACAACATGACTACTAATGATAACGAGATGCATAATGAAAGAGGAGCTCCACGTCAACAGAAGGGAGTTCTACAATTACAATCTCAAGATGTCTTGCTTGCACAAAATAAAATTATCACTCAATAGCTGGAAGCAATGACAAAGAAACTTTCTCTATTGCCACAAGAGATACGAAATGTTTCATTGGTTCAGTGGCAGCAGCAATGATGGAAGCAACAACCTACTCCACTCTGAGAAGACCACGAAGCTTGAGGAAACCTTCCAACAATTCATGAAAATGATCTTATCTTATTGTAAGAATATGGAGGTTGCGTTTAAAAATATGAAGATGCACATTGGGCAATTGATCAACAAGATGGAGGGTTGTGAGAGGAATGCAAAAAGTAATCTTAGAGAGGACTGTAAGACCATTGTTACTAGAAGTGGCAAAGTGTTAGATGAGAGAAAAATAGAGAGATAATAGAAAGAAAATTTTAGTGAGAAATAAGTAATTGAGCGGAAAGATATAATTGAGGGAGAAAAAAAGAAAGAAGAGGTAGATGAGAGAAAAAAAGAAAAAGATGTTGAAAAACCCTTCCTTGTCCAAAGACTTATTCAAGGAAGGAGAAAGAAAAACAACTTGAGCGGTTCATGGAGATTTTTAAGAAACTAGAGATCACCATACCTTTCTCTAAAGCATTTTAACAAATGTCTTCGTATGCAAAGTTTTTGAAGGAGCTCCTCACGAAGAAAAGAAAATACATTGAAAAGGAGACCATTGAAGTGCAAGGTAATTGTAGTGCAATCATACAAAAATTATTTCCTCTTAAGTTTAAAGATCTATGAAGCTTCATTATTCCTTGTACCATAGGAGAGTTGGAAGTTGGAAGAGCATTGATTGATTTGGGAGCTAGCATTAATTTAATGTCGCTCTCTATGTTCAAAAGAATTGAAGGTTTGGAACTCAAACCTACTAGAATGATGCTCTAATGGGCAGACAGGTCTCTTAAATACCCGTATGGGGTGGTTGAAGATGTGTTGGTGAAGGTGGACAAATTTGTATTTCTAGTGGATCTTGTCATAATGGAGATGGAGGAGAATGAAGATGTGCCTCTTATTCTGGGGAGACCATTTATGAAGACTGGTAGAGTCTTAATTGATGTGGAGAATTACAATCTTAAAGTAAGAGTGCAAGATAAAGAAGTGAATTTTGACGTATTCAAAGCTATGACACATCCTAAGGATGATAAAGCATGTTTCCAATTTGATATGCTTGATGAAGTTTGTATGGTGCAAGAGAAGATGGTGCGTTATTCTTCTTCATTAGAAAAAACTCTCGTTGATGCATGTGAAGATTTGAATGAAGAGGAAGAGAAATTAATTGATGAATGTATGACATATTTGCAATTGTTAAAGGAAATCCCAGTGGAGGAGGCTACTTTTGAGAAGATTGATACCAAAGAAGAAGTTAAAGAAAAGAATTTGGAATTAAAGATGTTACCATCACATTTGAAGTATGCTTTCTTAGAAGAGGATGGAGCGAAACCAGTCATCGTTAGTAATTCTTTGCTTCCTGAAGAAGAAGAAAAGTTGGTAGAAATATTGAAAGCCAACAAAGAAGTTATTAGATGGTCAATCTTAGATCTTAAAGGTATAAGTCCAACTTACTGCATGCATAAAATATTTATGGAGGAGGACTATAGACCAGTTGCTCAACCACAGAGATGGTTAAATCCTGTGATGAAGGAGGTGGTTAGAAAAGAAGTATTGAAGCTTCTGGAAGCTGGAATTATATATCCAATCTCTGACAGTGAATGGATGAGTCCAGTACAGGTAGTGCCAAAGAAAGGTGGGATGACAGTAATTTATAATGATAAGAATGAGCTCATTCCTACTAGGACAGTTACTGGGTGGCGAATGTGCATTGCCACTAGGAAGGATCATTTTCCCCTTCCTTTTATGGATCAAATGCTGGAAAGATTGGCAGGTCATGCTTTTTATTGCTTTCTAGATGGATATTTTGGATACAATCAAATTGTGGTAAATCCAAAAGACCAAGAGAAGACGACATTCACGTGTCCATTTGTTGTATTCGCTTACAAAAAGATGTCATTTGGGTTATGTAATGCTCCAACTACGTTTCAAATGTGTATGTAGGCAATTTTCATGGATATCATAGAAAAATGTATTGAAGTCTTCATGGATGATTTTTCGGTGTTTGGAGATTCTTTCCAAAGGTGTTTGGCAAATCTGGATGTTGCCCTTAGGAGATGTGTTAAAAAAATCTTGTGCTTAATTGGGAGAAATGCCATTTTATGGTAACAGAAGGAATTGTGTTGGGTCACAAGATTTCTGTTAGGGGGATTGAAGTGGATAAAGCCAAAGTGGATGTCATTGAGAAACATCCACCGCCAACAAATGTAAAGGAATTAGAAGTTTTTTAGGCCATGCTGGGTTTTATAGAAGATTTATTAAAGACTTCTCGAAGATTGCTAAACCATTGAGTAATTTGCTTGTTAAAGACGTATCCTTTGTGATGAATGAAGAATGTTTAAAAGCTTTTGACGCCTTGAAAAGTAAATTGGTTTCGGCCCTAGTGGTTGTAGCTCTAGATTGGAATCGAAATTTTGAACTAATGTGTGATGCCAGTGATTATACAATAGGTGTTGTGCTTGGTCAGAGAAAAAAGAAGGTATTTCACATTATCTATTATGCTAGCAAAGTTTTGAATGATGCCCAGTTAAATTATGCCACTACTGAGAAGGAATTTCTAGTTATAGTTTATGCCTTGGAGAAATTTAGGCCTTACCTTATTGGGTCTAAGGTGATCATTTACACGGATCACGCGGCTATAAAGTATTTGTTAACAAAGCCGGATTCTAAGCCACGTTTGATTAGATGAGTGCTCTTATTACAAGAATTTGATGTGGAAATCCGTGAAAAGAAGGGGAGTGAAAATTTTATTGTTGATCACGTATCTCGATTAGTTAATAGTGAGGTTACGAGTAAGGAAAAAGAAATTTGGGAGTCTTTTTCAGATGAAACACTCTTGTATATTCAACAAAGGCCGTGGTTTGCTGATATGGCTAATTTCAAAGCTGCAGGAGTAATTTCGGAAGACTTGAATTGGCAACAGAGGAAGAAGTTTTTACATGATGCAAAACAGTTTATTTGAGATGATCCTTACTTGTTCAAAATTGGAGCAGATAATCTTTTGAGGCGGTGTGTGACAAATGAAGAAGCAGAAGGAATTCTCTGGCACTGTCATGATTCACCTTATGGGGGACATTTTAATGGAGAAAGAACAACAACAAAAGTTCTTCAGTCAGGATTTTATTAGCCTAACCTGTTTAAAGATGCTCATAATCATGCCAGAAATTGTGATAAATGTCAAAGGATTGAGGCCATTTCAAGACGTCATGAAATGCCATTACAAGGCATTTTAGAGGTTGAAGTCTTTGATTGTTGGGGTATTGATTTTGTGGTACCCTTTCCACCATCTTTCAACAATGAATACATATTGGTGGCGGTGGATTATGTGAGTAAATGGGTTGAAGCCATGGCTTGTCCCAAGAATGATGCTAGCACTGTGATTAAATTTCTATTTGTATTGAATATGTGAATAAGAAATTCATGAGAACTAGTTGAGGAACACTTTGGCTAAGGAAATATTTGGTACTTAAGTTGTCCATTGAGACACACCTCTCTTTTCTAGAAGTCTACTCAACGAGTTTTCATCCTATTTCTTATTGAATAGATTATATATATATATATGTGTGTGTGTGTGTGTGTGTATGTATACTCAATTGGTATGAAAATTTGTGATGAATTTGAGTTTGACACGAGTATTGTGGAAAGATTATGTAGTAGCATGGTATGAATTGATGAATTTGAACATGATATGAGTCTCGTGGAGAGACTTTGTAGTGGCATAGTATTAGGGTACACGTTGATGTTGAGGGTTCTATTATTGGAGGTTATCCTAATACTCTAATAACCATCTAATTTCAAGTAGATAAGGATGCGTTATGTGTTGAGAGGGGCAGGAGGTCTTAGTCTATGCATGATAATTAAGTTTAGTCTGATTATTGCATGATAATATGATTATTATTGTGTGTAGTAATATATTTCTACATGTTGGATGAATTATCTATTAAATATTAGCTCGCCCTACTTGTTTGTATTTGTGTTTGTGTTTGTGTTTGTATTTGTGTGATGATCATATAACTCGTGTTGTTGTACAAGAGCTCAGATAGTAATGTTGATGATTCGGGAGCCGATGATTGACAAGAGAGGGGATTGGTGATGAGAGTTTTATTCAAATTTTATCTACTGAAAATTTATAATGATGTTTTTATAAATTCACGAGGTTAATGTATGAATGGAAATCGACAATTTTCTTAATAAATAAAATGAAAAATTTTCTCATGACACTCTGAGAATGAGTGTTACATTAATGATATGATAGCAATGATTTTGGGACTTTGGGGACTGAGCTCGTCTAGTTTCTAATATGTGTATATAATGTACAAGTTTGAAATTAATACTTTGGCATTATGATGCATACATACTTGACTGTTTGTTGAAATTGGTGGTCCTATTAATAATCTGACAAAAACAAAGGAAATAATTGTCAATATATGTGAAGTGATTGAACCTTCTGGTTGTCTCAAACAAACCTTGTTCTATGTTTGATTGATGACATGGTATGTTTGAAGTTTAGTCTATATTAATGTAATAATAAGAAGTAGATTTAGTAAGACATTTTCATGAACTTCTGATTATATTAGAAACTCAGAAGAAAAGTGATATACTCAGTCTAGAACTTGAAATATGTTTTTATGTTAAACTTATAAGTCGATGATATGATGATACTTTTTTGAGAAATTGATTATAATTGTTTTGAATTAATTGGATAAATAAAGTCAATCTTTGGCTATTAAAATTGCATATGTTATTATCTTTGGGTATTGGTCTATGGGGGAATTCACGTGTATTATGTTTAGTATAGGACTGATCATAATTCACATGATGTGTGAATACTACTTGTCATTGTTTTATGGTCTGAATGCAGTGATTCATGATTGTTTAGAATGAACTTCAGTTCTATGAACATGTTTAATACAGTCTCAATTATTATTAATGATAAAATATCTACTTAAATTATCATGAATCTGTTGAATTTTTATGGTGTGGATACATTATAGCATTAAGAGTTATAAACGTAAGGTATTGATGGATAGTGTACTAAATTATGTATTATTAAAGTAAGTCTTAATATTATAAGTGTAGATATTGGTTAAGTGAATTAATCAATATATAATTAGCATTGCATGTTAAACTAGTTAGATATATATGATATATGTAGACACTGATCAAATGAATAACTACAAAAACATAAGATTTAATTAATTTCATCATGAGAGTAAAATTTACAATAATAGACTTTCATTCCTAGTTTTAAAAAAAATCACTTTTGACTTGAATCTTGTAAACCGAGGGAGGAAGGTTGAGCATCTATAGAACCATTGAGGAAGAAACACTAATATGAATAGAGTTAGTGAAAAGTCAAATGTCTTAACCGTTACACGAAAAATGGTCTTACCCAAGTGATACATAAAATCCATCTTACACTTGTTAAAATAAAATAAATAATAATAAATGCTCGCAGATAAAACCAAACTGACAAATAGTGAGGATGCAAAATTACTTTACCGTGAATCGATGAATCAACTTTAAACCGTGTTAAAAAAAGATGTTCAAAGTCGACCACAAGTGGTCAATAAGATTACAGTCCATAGTAATAAAAATAAATAAAGGAAACTACAGTCTTCTGAGGAGAGTATTCTTCGGAAGAAGGCGATCGTAAGGAAAGCTTGGAGGATGGAGCTTTCACCTCGAAGAGTATGGGAAGAGAGAAATTATTTCATCGTCAATGGGAGGGATTGGAAAAAGATTCAACGTCACCTATTTGGAACACCCATGAAGGATCTCCAAATAAAAAAAAATAAGAATTTGAAATGTTAAAAATAAAAAAAAAATTACAAATAAAAATAAAAAAATAAAAAATAAAAAGAAAAAAAAAAAAAAAATCAAAATAAAAATACAAAAATAAAAATAAAAATAAAAAAATAAACAACAAAATAAGTAATTTGAAATGTTTAAAAATAAAAAAAAAAATTACAAATAAAAATAAAAAAAAAAAATAAAAAGAAAAAAAAAAATAAAATCAAAATAATACAAAAAATAAAAATAAAAAATAAAATAAATAAAAATAAAAAATAAAAAAAATAAAAATAAAAACAAACGAGAATAAAAATAAAGAAAAAAAAAATAAATAAAAATAAACAAAAAATAAAAAATAAAAAAGTAAAAATAAAAATAAACCTCCCCTCCCCCTCCCCCCTCCCCTCCCCATCCCCTCCCCTCCCCCTCCCCCTCCCTCCCCCTCACCTCACCCCTTCCCCTCCCCTCCCCCCTCCCCCTCCCCCCCCCCCCTCCCCCGCCCTCCCCCTCCCCCTCCCCCTCCCCGTCCCCCTCCCCCTCCCCCTCCCATCATCCTGCCCTCCCCTCCCCCTCCCCCTCCCCCTCCCCCTCCCCCTCCCCCCTCCCCCTCCCCGTCCTCCTCCCCCTCCCCCTCCCCCTCCCCCCCTCCCCTCCCCCTCCCCCTCCCCCTCCCCTCCCCCCACTTTTTTTTTTTTCCCCCTCCCCTCCCCCTCCCCCTCCCCCTCCCCTCCCACCCCCCCTCCCCCTCCCCCTCCCCCGCCCCCTCCCCCTCCACTCCCCCTCACCCCTCCCCCTCCCCTCCCCCTCCCCCCCCCCCTCCCCTCCACGCCCTCCCCCTACCCGTCCCCCCCTCCCCCTCCCCCTCCCCCTCCCCCTCCCCCTCCCCCTCCCCCTCCCCCTCCCCCCTCCCCACTCCCCCTCCCCCCTCCCCCTCCCCCTCCCCCTCCCCCTCCCCCTCCCTCCCCTCCCCCTCCCCCTCCCCGTCCTCCATCCCGACCCTCCCCCTACCCCTACCCTCCCCCCTCCCCCTCCCCCTCCCCCTCCCCCTCCCCCCTCCCCTCCCCCCTCCCCCTCCCCCTCCACCCTCCCACTCCCCCTCCCCCTCCCCCTCCCATCCCCTCCCCACTCCCGTCCCACCTCCCCCTCCCTCCTGCCCCTCCTCCCCTCCCCTCCCCCCTCCCCCTCCCCCACCCCTCTCCCCTCCCTCCCCCCCCCCCTCCCCGTCACTCCCCCCCCTCAACCTCCCCCTCCCCCTCCCCCTCCCCCCATCCCCCTCCGCCCAGTCCCCCTCCCCCCCTCCCTCTCCCCCTAATCCCCCTCCCCCTCCCCCACCCCCTCCCCCTCCCCCATCCCCTCCCCCCCCTCCAATCGCCACTCCCCCGCCCCCTGTGTGACCCTCGGTGTCCCCTCCCCCCTCCCCTCCCCTCCCCCCCCTCCCCACAGTCCCCCCCCCCCGCCCCTCCCAACCTCCCACCTCCGTCCTCCTCCCCCTCCCCCTCCCCGTCCCCTCCCCCTCCCCCTCCCGTCCCTCCTCCCCCTCCCCTCCCCCTCCCCTCCCCCTCCCCTCCCCCTCCCCCTCCCCCTCCCCCTCCCCCTCCCCCTCCCCCTCCCCCTCCCTCCCTCCCCTCCGCCCCTCCCCTCCCCCTCCCCCTCCCCGTCCCCTCCCCTCACCTCCCCTCCTCCTGCCCCTCCCCTCCCCTCCCCCTCCCCCCTCCCCCCTCCCCCTCCCCCTCCCCCTCCCCGTCCTCCTCCTCCCCTCCCCCTACCCCCTCCCCCTCGCCCCTCCCCATCCCCTACCCCTCCCCCTCCCCCTCCACCTACCCCCCCCCTTCCCCCTCCCCCTACCCCTCCCCCTCCCCCTCCCCTCCCCCCCCTCCCCCTCCCCCTTCCCCCTCC